AAATGCACCCTGCAAAGAAAGCTTCAAATTGGCGGGAAATTCTCCCTTGCACCGGGGTTCTCTTCTGCAGCAGAAAATACCACCGTGCAAGGAAGCTATAATTTAGCGGGAACAATTTAGCAGTGCCGAAGCACACAAAAACAAAAATCACACGCTTTGGGTTGTGACAGCCCGTAAGACCATCTCCAAGGAACACACTAGAAATGTATTTCCATCTGGATAACTGTCCTTTCAGCACAGCACACTGGAGTCTTCCCTTAGCCTACCCCTTACCTACCTTAAAGTTCCAATATCAATCCTCCTCTTTTCTGCCCAAAATAACAAAGGGAAAGCAATTATTTAAAAACAAGAGTTCCCAAAGACTTCCAGTTACCCTTCTGTCTCTATTATGCAAGGCATTATGCAAATATATAAGTAGGTATGATTATCATGGAGTATGCAGCCAAAATAAAGATAAGGAGGAAATATTGTGTAACAAAAAATCGTATAAAAGAGAAACAAGAACAACAAGATGGCATACAATTGACCAATTGCCATGGTGTCAAGAACCTATATTATACTTGGTCATTTCAAATAGACCAGGAGACAGACCATAACAGCTTCCCCTAATTATTATTATTATTATACAAAATCTACTCTTCTGATAATATATGAATGGAGAGGTTAGATTTTTCTGCAGAAGATAATCAATGGTATAATGTCACTACATATATGGCAGAGAAATTACATTTCCCATATAATGTGACCCCTTTTCAATTTGCTCCTAATCAGATCTGACCAGTAGCCCAGTTCACATATCACGAATTAAGTATTGTTCACTATTAACTTTCCCCTCAGTTTCTCCATTCTATGCTGCTGGTACATAATCAAGTATGTAACAGTATTACCACAAGATGGCATTTTTGAGCACATTTAAAATTTTTTCTTCTAACTCACTATATCATTGAAGACCTTTGGGAGGGTAGATTTTGTTTGTTTGATTTATTGATTAAATGGTTCCTTCAACTCTTAAATAACAGAAATTTAATTATTTTAGGAACACTATTTGTATGAAAAATTGCTCATTCAGATTCATAAGTTTTTTACTTTTTAATTAGAATGCCTTAGAGCATTATTAAATATTTTTCATGGTCACAGATCCCCTTTAAACCTTGTAATCATCCTATGGATGTAAATATATGTAATTTAATTGGACTAGATTTTAAAATAATTAATATGTTAAATCTTATTTTTTTTAATTCCCCAAATACTAAAATGTATAGCTAGATAGCTATGGATTCATTGTTATTAGTTTTTGCTATAGACATAGACATGGACATAGATTCAAGATAGGCTATGGCTAAGACGTGGATGAAGGTGCAAGAGTGATAAATCCTGGGATTGCAGATTTGTTGTTTCAAGTTTCTTTATTTTTTGAGCTTCTACCACTTCTATTCAGAGCCTCAGCAGCAGCATATTCTGGCTAAAACAACACCCCCATTTATTAAGAATTTGGATGCTTGACATTGCTGATAAACATGATGGAGTAGCTGGGTGTCCAAGATATTCCATCAGAATCTAAGGACAAAAACAAAGTTCCAGGCCCTGATTTTTGGGCTCTGGCCAAGCTTGTTATGGAAGCCAGGCATTGGCTGCCATGGTTTCCCCTGCTTTACCTGTGGCAGGATAGTGTTATGAAGATAACTTCTTAACTTGCAGTAACTTTCACTTCATGGCCCTTGTCACAAGGGTCATGAAGGGTTCTGAAGACTGCTGGATGGACCAATGACTTGTGTGCTCAGCGATGAACATCTGCCTGGCACCAAGACACCGGAAGACCCAGAAGGCCGCCTGGAGACAGCTGAACGTCGCAGCTTTGAAGGACCCTGGACAGCGGGAGGAGTTCCAGGCCTAGTTGTATAGCGCACTGGAGCAAGTCCCTACTGCTAATGACATCTCCATCCTGGCACACTGGGAGCAACTCAAGTCTGCTGTCCAAAACACCTGCACCCAGACTATTGGGTTCGTATTACATACAACTCCTGGGCTGGATCTAGCCTGTGAAGAGGTTTGATCTGGCCTGGAAAGAGGTTAGATCTTGGCCTAGGATGGTACAGAGGATCAGGCAGCATGCAACTGTGCCTAGCCATTGGCCTCTCTGTAGCACCCTCTTCAGACTTATTAGCAGACTTCCCTGCTGCTCTCTGTGTTAGTGCTTACTGTTGCTGCAGAGGAACTGGTGTCTACAGCGAGGGAAGCATAGGCTACTTGAGCTCTCTAGGAGCCAGAGAGCCAGGTTGCAAACTAGGGCAGGAAAATGTTGCCAATTCCTGCTATAGAGTACAAGGTATTTCCATGCAAGGGGCTCTGTCTCTGCCAGGAAGCTCTGAGACAGGATTACAGATTTTCTTAAGAATCTCTCCTCAATAAATAACAGGACTGCTGA